TGCTTTAATTTCTTTTAGGCATAGTGCAATGTTCGTCAGGCTTCAGTCCTGCTGGCTTGTGATATGCATGACTGTCTTAATTCATCTTTGCCTTTTTTTTTTTTGAGGAAGATTAGCCCTGAGCTAACATCTGCCACCAATCCTCTTTTTGCTGAGGCAGACTAGCCCTGAGCTAACATCCGTGCTCATCTTCCTCTACTTTCTGCGTGGGACACCTACCACAGCATGGCTTGCCAAGTGGTGTCATGTCTGCACCTGGGATCCGAACAAGTGAACCCTGGACTGCCGAAGCGGAACGTGGGGACTTAACCGCTGCGCCTCCCGGGCCGGCCCCCATCTTTGTCTTTGTCTATTTTTTGAATAAGTGTCTCATACCAACAGCTGGGTAATACCACACTACTCAAAGAGAGAATCTCAGCGTCATTATTTTCCCACAATCACCATGTGAGCATTTGAACCTCTGTAAGGCAGAGCTTTGGGGAAAATTAGAAACTCAAATGAAAGGCAAGTTTCTAGCTGGAATTTAGATCAAAGAAGATATTATCCTGGTAGGCTTGCTCTCTATGAGTTAGAGAGAGACACAGGGCCATCGTCGACTGGCTTGACAACTGCAAATCTTGAAGACTCTACAGTGATCCTTTGTAGTTTATACTGGTATGTGTTATTATTAAAGCTTGCGCATCAAGGAAGAATATTCTGCTAATTCTCAAACAGGGTTCTGGCGGTACTGATGCTGTGAAGTAAAATCAGTCCATGTAAATACATGGGACGTATATTCAATGATCCATTTTGGTTGATCCACCAAACATTTATTCACCCCCTTATAATAAGCATGAAATAGAGATTCATTAAAGCTTGTTTTTATCTTAAGGGTGGAGAGATTCACACATCATGTGAGATACGAACAACTTATTGAGTGAGGTATTTTCATCTCCATTTTACACATGAGGAATCGTGGCTGTGACTTCCTAGGATCGTATGGCTACGAAATGGCCCAACTGGAATTTGACTGTAAGTCCAGGGGGTTCAAGTCCTATGCTTTTAGCCACTGGAATTCCCAGATGTGTGGTTTCTTCCCCATACCAACCAATCCTCTGAAGCCAGCTCAACGTCCTTCCGTTCAATTCAGTTCTGACGCTATTTACCTGGAGCTGGTGTCAGATCCCACAAGTTAAGGGCTCAGTCCAACAAAACCACTCTCATTTCAGATGTCAATTGCAAATCCCAGGTTGTCACTTGTACTTCTGACTAACTGGCTATAAATTGGGTTCCCTCAACCCTCTCCTCAGGTTCAATAATTTGCTAGAGTGGCCCACAGAACTCAGCAAAACACTTACTTATGTTTACCGGTTTATTATATAATAAAAGATATGATAAATGATACAAATGAACAGTCTGAGGAAGAGAAACCCAGGGCGAGGTCTGGATTCCAAGTGAGGGAGCTTCTGTCCCCGTGGAGTTGGGGTGGACCACCCTCCCAGCTCAAGGTGTGCTCGCCAACCCAGAAGTTCCCTGAACCCTGCAGGTCAGGGATTTTTATGGAGGCTTCATCACGCAGGCATGATCAATTACTACCTCAATCTCCAGCCCTTCTCCCCTCCCCAAAGGATAGGAGGTGGGGCTGGAAGTTCCAGGCTTCTAATCATGGCTTGGTTTTTCTGGTGCCCAGTCCCTATCCTGAAGCTATCCAGGATCCCACCAAGAGTTGCCTCCTTACAGCAGAAGATGCTCCTATCACCCAGGAAATTCCAAGGGATTTAGGATTTCTGCGTCGGGAACTGGGGTCAAAGAGCAAGTAGTAAAACAAAAGATGCTCCTAGCACCTTTCTTGATTAGAAAATTACAAGGATTTTAGGAGCTCTTGCCAGGAACCAAGGACAAAGACCAAAGTATATGTTTCCTATTATATCATATTGTTACACTGTCTGAGATTCTTTTGTTTTCTTTCAGGATCTTACCCCCAGTGTTAGTTCCCATTATGTTTCAAACAGGCTGTAGAATTTGGTCACTTGTATTTTTCTCTGGCAAACCAAGTAGTCGGGACTTAGTCTACTTGTTGACTGTCAAGGTCATTCCTTCCATCATGATGCATTTGTCCTTGAATTTCAAGAGCGTATGTGGATTTAAGGAATCTGAAATTTCTCTAGAGAAATACAGGCACATTTTTATGAAACACAGTGTGGGTATGTCTCCCCAGGGCCGTCTGGGCCACTATCTGCTTTTCCTCTCCACGCTTCCGTGCATAGGCTCAACTAAGACGTCGAGGTAGATGCCTTCCAATGGAAAGGTAATGCATGTCCTCTTCCTTTTGTCCTGAAGAATCTACAATACTGGGGACGGTTGACAGGAGGGAGGCAGGATAGTGCTGTCATCAAGGCACGGCAGTTCAAATTAGAAAGATCCAGTTTCTAATCCTGGCTCCACTGCTTCCTGAGTCTTCTTAACTCTCTCTCAGAGTCAGTCTTCTCATCTTTAAAATGAGATGATAATAGCATCTTCCTTACAGGCTGTGTGAGCATTAAATGAGATCAGGCATGTGGAGTGCTTGTCCATCGATGCTGATGCTGATCTATCCCTAGGGGAAGTGCCTAGGCTCTCAGTGCTCCTGCACCAATAGAGTGTCCCTTAGTTCACCTCTGTCCTTTCTACTTCTTAGTGTATGTAGATGCTATGGAATTTCAAGAGCAACTGTGAAAGGACTCTAATGAACTGAGTTGCTCCTTCAGTATGATGCATGTTAAAAAAAGGAGGGCAAATGGTAAAATTTGTGTTTCTTTTTATTCTAAAGAATGAAACCCAAATAGGATTGGTCAAGTGATAAAATCAAGGACATGTAATTATTGTTCGTGACTTTGTATAAGTCAACTAACCTCTCTGGGCTTCAGCTTCCTCCTCCACAAAATGAAGGAATTAGGCCAGATAATTGCACGTTTCTTTCCAGCTAAATTTGATTCTATTAAGCACTGCTATATGCATAACATGAACTAGATGCTGTGCAGTCATCCTTAATGTGCTTAAAGATAGTTATGAACTTGCTCCTTAGCCTTTGTTATCCATCCTAAAAAAGTTTGGGGAGTCTTTGTTTCTACTGTACATATTCTTAATCTCTGTGATGAGTTTCAGAGCCTCTCATAGATCTGGGTGGTCCGGTGGCTCCAGAATAGGGGTAACCTTTTAGAGAAGGGTACCCTACCTTCTGTAAATTGTCCTTGGAAAGATGTCAGGCTCTGGGTAAGATATAGTTTCCGCTGAGTGGCTAGAGCGCCAGAGGCAGGAATACGGGATCAGATTCTAGAAGTGAATCTGCTCCAGGACTGGGGACATGGCTTCATCACTGACCTTTAGTTCAGAAGTGTAAGTGAATCATTTCCAAAGACAAATTGCTCCAAAGGGCAGAAAGATGTGCCAGTGTGGGAGGGTCACAAAGACGGTGTTTGTGAGGAAATTGAAATGTGGACAAGGAGGTCTATCAGGGGCGGAAACACTTCTGATCTGTCCTTTGTCAGATCAGAATAGAGGGATGTGAAGCCTCCCTCCACTTAGAGCCAGGTCGTCAAAGATGTTCACTCTAGCATTTTAAAATAGCAAAAAGTTGGTAGCAACACCAGGGGATTGTTAATCAATTATTGATATGATTATAGGATGGAATATTATGCATTGATTACAAGTGATATTTATAGAGAAAACCTAAATGTCATGGGCAAATGCTCAAGGTATAACAGATAACAATATGCATATGTTGAAAATTATACATAAAACATTATATTAAATACGTAAAAATCTTAATAGAAAAACATATGGAAGGCAATGGACCAGAATATTAATGGTGTTTATATCAGGGTGATAAGCTTACGGGTGAGTTTTGTTTTAATGTTTATTTTTAATATTTAAAAAGACAAAATGTATCCTTCTCTAAATTTTCTATAGGAAATATGTCCTACTTTATAGTCGGAATAAAAAACAATACAAAGTATCTCTTAATAAAACAAATACGCAATACCCCAAATTAGGGTAGTGACATAAAGCTTAGATTATCAGGAAAGGAGAAAAAAATTACTGGAATGGTTTTGAGAAAGCCACCGAGTACAAGATCCTGACCCAGGCTCCAGAGGATGAGGGCGGAGTCGGGCACACGGGTGGAATGACCCCAAGTGCAGAGACCCGGCCAGTGGGAGAGGGCTGCGGGGCCCGGTTGCCCGCCTTGGGGAACCTGCTCTGGGGCCTTCTTCCTGCCTCTTACTTAGCCTGGAATAATCGTTGTCCCCCTGAAGGACAGAGAGAGCATGAGATACCAAGGGTCTTTTGCTTACGTTACTATCCCATGAAAGACACACGATGTTTTCAACTCTCCCTTTGCTTAGGGACCCCCCTCCAGGTGCTCCGTGGACATGGGTGTGTTCCTCAAAGTTCCTAGAAGTGAGTTGGGGGAGGTTGGCAGTGTGTGCTAAATGCTCCATAGGGCTGCGTGTCCAACACAAAAGTTCAAATCCCAATCTTTAGGACTCCTTTCAGCACCCATAGGGATGTTTCCCAAATCCTCAACATTGTTCTCACTGTTGTCTCTTTGACACAGTCTATCCCATCCTATGAAAATCTCTCCTCTGTGCTTGGCTTTATCCCTTCTTTAGAACACCTTGTTTGTCTACCCTTAAATTCCTGCTGGGGTTCAAGCGCCGGTCTTTCACAGCGCTGATACCCATCCCTGGAGAATAATTCTCGTGAGCCCATCGTAGAGCGACCACAGGCTTTCTCAGTGACAAGAAAAGGCTTGCCTTTAAAAGAAGAGGAAAAGTCTAAAGTCATCAAAACAATGTAATATCCTGTGTGAAATGTTGCAGTCACGATGCCTTGTGGTTTGGGTCCCTTGATCATGTGCCCGGAGGGAAGTAAGTTGGCGGTGACGGAGACACTCGGGCTGGGCAGGTGCGTCTTCAGCTCCCCTCACACTCGGGCTCCTCGAGGAGGAGGGGCTGCAGCCCTGGCCCACCGTTAGCACAATGATCCTCAGGCTGCTCCTGGCTCTCAACTTCTTCCCCTCGATTCAAGTAACAGGTAAACGATTTGGATTTCTTTCCTTCTTTAAGTTTGTCTTTAGAGGTCTTTGAATGGCTTGATTCATTTTAAATTTCAAGCAACTTGTAAAATTTGGCCATTTGAAATGTAGTTTTGCTCTCACATGTGACATGTTACTTAGAAACTCACCGATTCTCAGACTACAGTATATATCGTATTTTAACGAACATCGTTTGGAATTAAATAGGATTTATTTAACTATTAATTCACAGTGCCCCAGGAATTTCTAGCTTATGTGTATAGATATTTGTTTGCTGAAGAAAACTGCTATAAGTAGGTTGGCTCTGAAAGCTCTGGATTTAGATTGCCTAGGTTCATATCACAGATCCAGTTCTTACTAGCTGAGCTTAGGCTGGTATTCAAACTCTCTAAGCCTCAGTTTCCTTATCTGTAAAATGGAGATGATAATAACCTCATCTCAAGGGCATTGTGAGGATAAAATGAAAGAATCCATGTGAAATCCTTAGTGTAGTCAGTGCTTGGCCAGCAAGATAAACGTTGGTTGTAACTATTGTGTCTACCCGAATTGAATGAGTGCCAAAATGAATTCTGGAGTCGTCACAGAAGCTGATATGATATAAATGTTTTCTTTTACAGTTGTCTAAAATCTGTTTTCTTAGATTAAAATCCTTTAAGTTCCCAGTGATGATGATAAGGAGGATGATACGCCTGACAATGTTACAGAACCCCATTTCAGATGAAGAGACCACGGGGCAGGAATGTTAATTTGCTCAAGGATATACAGGTTCTAGTTGAGGAGGCAGGGCCTGGACCACCTTCGCCAGCCTCTCCAGCCTGTGCTCTTGACCATCATGCTATTCCTCCTAACATGATATGGTTGGTCATTTCCTAGCTCCAGATGTGTCCAAGCTGAAGGCATCTTTGGGAAGTCACAATTCTGAACAGAAAGAGCTTTGCTGGCCTGGAGTTTTGTTTAACTTGTTCTCGGAGTTAGAAAAGGGTCCCACTTGGCTCAAAAATTGGACTCATTGCGGTTACTGGACATGTTTCAATGAGGATAGTTATTTTTCCCTTGAAGAGACACTGAAAAGCCAGCGTCTTCAGTTTTCTTTCTCATTTATGTTGGTGACGTGGAAGCCACATTACTTGTTGTTGTTCTTAAACATCAAGTGCATGTGCTCCAAGGGGGATAGTTTCCCAACCTGCACAGTACAGTAGTTACACATGTGCCCACCTATTTCATTGTCTGATGTGCCAGGGAGCACATTACAAACTGTGTGTGTTTGTAAAAGGCGCTGATATCGTGAAAGAGGAGCTGGCAATGAGATAGGTTATGCCCCAGTATCGGGCGCCAGGCGTTTAGAGCTACCAAATAGATTTTAAAAGAAGCTTTTAAAATTTATTTTAACAGAGGTCTTTAAACTTTATTTTTAAGAGATCTTTAAAATGTATTGTTAAAGAATACTTGAAATTTCTTAATTCATTGGACAGTAAAGGATAGGCAGAAAGGAAAGTGAAGGCTTGCTCTGACAGAAAACTATGTAAAATTGGTAATTGTGCACAAGACACTTTTCTGATGTGCTTGTGGTCCACCATCGCCGGCAATTCATTCATTCTCTTTTGAAGATACTTTTTGTAAGACTCAAAGCTTTATATTTTTTCTTTAGCACATTTGTTAAAAGGGGAAGAGCCAAAGAAGCCGTTGGGGGGTTCCCGCATGCGGCAGCCTTGTCTTCTGCTTTGAGATACATTTACTTTTCAATGCCAGATCACCCTTGGCATAACTTGTAAGATTTGATGCTGAGAGGCCATCTAATGGAGCAGGAGACGGATTGGGGTGGAGGGGGCACTTCTGAAATGCCTCTTTCAGCAAGAAAACTTAAGAGAAAGAAAATAATTGCAACATACAAAAAGGTCTGATCCATTCTAATCAACAGGGCCAAACTTTCCATGTGCTTTTTGTTTCTCTTTCTGCATTCACCCTCCATGGAGAAATTATAGATCAGAGGATTCTCTGGTCAAAGTGTAATTGTCCTCCCTAGGCGTGTGAGAGACCACTGTATGTCTGTGCTGAGATGTGTGTGTGTGTGTGTGTGTATAAATGAAGGACAGTTCTTTTTCCCCTTAATTCAACAATTCTAACTCATTGGTTCGCAGCATAGCTTAAAATACTTATTCTATGAAGGTTAAGCCTGACTTGATTCTTCATGGTCTGAATGACACCGTAGGAAGATCTTTATGGCTAAATTAAAGAGGTATGATTTGGAAGAGTGAGGAAACATTAACTTCGACAATTCCTTTACCAAAGTTACATGTTCTGCACCAGATTTGGATAATTGTGCCACTGACATCCACAATAGAGGACTCTGCTGGACTTTGGGACATGGGTCCAGCTTAGAACTGCTGGCCCATGGAAGGGATGCGATTTGTGACTCATGATAGAAGGAGTGTGCATGTACTGCATGGCATCGTTCATAGGTTTTCCAGCCAGTATTGGTTATTTTTCAGCAAGCTAATCATCCAGCATGAAGACAAAATTCAGGAGAACACCACTTATTTTCCCACGGGAACCTTTCTTTTCATTTCTCCCCAAACCTTAGCAAATAAACCGTCAAAATGGCCAGTTGAACACGATTGATTTGTCCAGTGCTGCTGCATTTCCCTTAGCACTTCTTTTTCTGAGAGAGGCACAGAAAGCAGGAAAATGATTGGTATTTAATAAAAACTCATCAGCAAAGCAAGGTAATTAAACACTTTACTTTTAGCTGAGCAAATGACCCCTCTGAGGTAGTCATACACAAAGAGAAGTAATTTACGTCTGGTGGGCTTGGGAAAGCACCGGACAAAAATGGACTGGAGAAATGCAACGTAGTCAGCGGTTTGCTGTATCTTTGCAAATCCAGTACATGGCAGCCAGATTTTCTCACCGTTAAAAAATTGACTGGGTGTTTTGTCATTTCAAGTAACTGATGGGCATTTCAAAAAGTATAGACATTGCTTAAGAATCTGTTTTACTCTACTACCATACCCTACCATAAGATACTACTTTTTATTTTATTTTTTTGAGGCAACCATGCAGAAAGGACTTTTACGTTAACGACTGTAAAATTAATATCAATGTATCAATACCAGGAAATAGAATGAGTCATTTTCACAGATAGATTAGAAATAGAAATGAATCTGTGGTCATAACGCTGAAGCTCTCACATTCAAACCTTTACTATAGGTGGGGGCACAGGGATCTCACTGCCTCTCCTTTAGACATAGACTGTCCTCCTTTTTAATGTCTTTATTCTATTTTCTTGAGTGGAGAAATGCCATATGACTACCATTCAGCTTTTATCATGTGTAGATATCTTCCTTCAAGTGTTTCCTGCATGCAGTGTGCTGACATTTACAAAATGAAAATTTTTGTGCCACCAACATCCCAGAAGAAAATTCCGTTTGTGGTTTATCTTCTCTAAAACAGTAGCTCTTTACTAACTGGTATAGGTATTGATAAGGATACACAAGTCATTGCAGACATTCTTCTCTAAAAATCAGAGGGCAGGCACACCTTCAAAGCACATTTATTTCACAGCAGGTCATTGAAAAGGATAAAATCTTTCTTTTCTCCTTTTCATCTTGGTGGAATTTTTGTTTGCCTTTTCCTTCAAGATTTTATTATTTATGGAACTTTACAGAGGCTGGAAATTTTCTTCTCAGTGGATAGTTTAGCTGAACTTCAGGAGAAGTGACATCTCGGTGACTTTGTGATTAACTGAAGGGATCTCTGGTTTTTGAGCTGTGTTAAGGACTCTACATTTTTTGATGCTGATTTCTTTGACTCTTTTTGGTCAATGACATGGTATTGTCATCAAAAAAGTGTACATAGAACTTTCAGTCTGAGAGTTGTTGCATGAGTGTTGGTGCCTGAAGCTGGAGGGTAGGTAACCCAGGCCCCACGAGAAGTGGTTGGAAAGTAGGTGTCTAACTTCTTGCCTGTTGCTGTCATCCTGATGAGTGTGAACACTGGAAGAGGGGTGCGCCGGGTGGCGTCAAGTGCTACTCAGTTGCTTGTTCGAGGATGTGGAAAAGAGACTTTAAACTTCTTTGGCCTTGGCATCTCAATGCTAATTTCACAGGCATCTTGATTTAGTCTGTGTCACCATGCAAGTTACGTGTGTTTATGTTTTCAGCGCTGGAAGGGCACCTGCACTGTGGTGGAGAATTTCTTACTTAACTTTGAGCTGCAGCTTTATCTCTGCATCACCATTACCGTCATCTTTTTCATTTGTCATCATCTTCCTTATCTTGGGGACTCTGGCTGCCAAGGTAACTGGGTCACTGGTTCCTGATGGTGTCATAAGAGTCACCCACTCACAGTTCAGTCTGACCTCTGATCTAATCGTGAGCCCCTTTCTGCAATATCTGAGTCACGCTGTTGCTCACAATCCACCATGTAATGCACTGATTAGGGCTGTGACTTCTACTCATCACCCACTCATTCACGTAAGAATCTGAGTTATTGACATGCCTTACATTTCAACAATGACATAGATTCCCTCGTTAAGAACTTAGGTGGATGTTTGATTTTTTTTACTTGCTGAGAAGGTAGAGGGTTGTGCTTTTTATTGCTTGGGGATACTTGACACTTGATGAAGTGTCAGAACATCACCGTGGCTGTATTTGCAGTTTCATGTGACCTGATGACTTTCTTTGCTATTGAACACTACTAATAATAAGGGCATATAATTGAAGACCAGCTTTAGGAATGTTGAGTCCAGGAGTATTCCATTTCAGATCCACAGACTCTGTCCCATACAAGGTGGAAAAGAATGGGCACCTTTGAAGATAGTGTTTCCTTCCATGGTGAGGCTCTTAGGGGGATTGAAACTAGGTCTTAGCAGGATACTGTTCTCTAAAGCACTGAGTTCCTGTCTCTAAAGTGCCAGCTTCTTCTAATGCTTTGGTAAGACAGGTCTTCATTCATGTGCTCGTTCAGTAGGTATTTATTAATATCTTCTATGTGCTATTCT